ATTCTTATTGCCAGACTATTGCCTGGTAGCGTGCCCGGCGTGGTAAAATAGTCAATGATGATCGTCCCAGGCACCAAGTAGAAGTACTTCCTACGTCCCCGAATGATTGTCCCCGAATGATTGTACCTGAACACGTTTACCACTGAAATAAACTCAATATTTGGGCAATTTGAATGGTTCTTTTTTTATTCAACTGATCTTATTTCATAGTACTTGAATATGTTGTCCCTTTTAATGTCGTAGTAAAGGGAATAATAAAGTTATAAACCTTCAAATGGGGCTATATTTTAATGTCATTTTTAAGTTACTACCAGTTAAAAGGGTTCCGCCCCCAACGGTTATTTTGATGCTACTTGCACATTCTTGTGATAGCCAATAYTTAGTACTACTATTGGAGACTGTACTTTAGATAAGTATTGCTTGATTTCTTATATTGGTCATTTTTGTCCAAAAGAGGTGCTTGATACCATTGTCAATGCAAACTTTAGACTCTGGCTTGTTGTTCCTCTTGGTGATACTAGTACAGCAGTGTATTTTCATCCGGAAATTAAAAAAAATTAATCACGCGCATGCACATTTCTACTAGTTTCAGTACTGATTCTATGTGGTGTACACAGTCATATTTTATCCAGGGTTAAATGAAACTTTTTGATGAGTGTTAAGTAAATAAAGGGACTTTAAAATCTGGACAGCAAAATTGGAATCACAGTACAGTCATAATGGGATGGAGGAAGTAGTACTTAATTTGCTGTGGTCCAAATTTCCAAAAAGTCACTCCAGGATTTTTTTCAACTCTCATTTTTACTGATACAAATGATACTACTCATAAAACTATCCAACCTTTAGCAGCTAGTATGATGTTATCAAAAATACTACTGTTTTAATTTTTGAGTAGCCAGACTAGCCCAGTTTTTATGCTGATTGTTCTGAGGAATATCATTTTGTTAGATGTGAAATTGATATTTGTGTTCATTGTCATCATACCAGCACCAATTGAAAAAATCCTGGTGGGGCAGTCATCATTGAATCGTGTTGGAAAATTTACATACTGTACAAATAGTATGACGATGCAATACTATGTACTCATGCTTCTTGTTCCTGATTGCCACCAACACAGGTTTCTGCAGAGGCTTTGGTGGAGGCTTCTTTGCGTGAGGCAACAAATGCTGCAATGATAGCTTGCCTCCTGGTGGCAACAACTGCGGAGGCTTCTACGGCAGCTTCTTTGCCAAATAGTGCTTCTGAGGAGGCCTCTTTGCATGGGGCAAATARTGCTTCTGTGGAGGCTTCTTTGCATGGATCCACACATTGGCAAATAATGCTGCTTTGATACCTCGCCCAGCGCTGGATACTGCAGCTCAATTGACAAATAATTGTTTGGATTTAAGGGCTCAGGCTAAGCAATGAGAACAACAACATAGACCAAAGAGACAGAATGAGGCTCCATATCATCCAGAGGTTGTTAATGGGACTGTGGAAGAGGTACAGGCAATACGTACAGAAAGGACGGCAAGGTACCAGAACTTTTCACAAAGTGACTGTGCTAGTTCATTGTTATTCTTGGCTTCTTTGCTCCTCCATAAAAACTTTCCCAAGCCTAAAGGTGCTACCTTTTGGTGTAGTTTTGTATACTACTAGTAGTAGCACCAACAAGGTAGTTTGAATGCATGCCTCTTTTTCTGTTTTTTCATATTTGTTCATGAATCCCACCATCATGCATCAGTTCCCATAATAGTAGTGGTACTACGAGTAGCTTTCTTCAGATGTTTCATCATGTTGCTCACCACAGTCTTTCAATGCATGATCTTCAATGTGKAAATCTTAGAATTTTATTGGTTGGTGTCAGTTGTAGAACTTGCATCTCTGATCCTGCTATTGCTCTCCTGATAAGGTGTTGCTTTCTTTTAAATCTATGAATGGAATGAATTTTTGAAGTCTTCACACTTTCCAAAGTTTACAATTGTTTTGGTTGATCAATTGTTACATTATTCCTGCATTTGCTGCCATGACTGCCTAAAGTTCCTGTAGCCTTCCCCTACTGTAGTACTCTTGAAGATTTCCCCTACTGTAGTACTCTTGAGGAACTTGTCATGATCTGCAGTCATTGCTTGTTTTGCATTGAGAATAGGAATACATAAATTTCAGTTGTGGAAGCCAAGCTGTCCACTTTCCTACAGCAATCACGGGCCTTGTGCTGGTATTGCTCTTAACTCTATTTCACAGCAACTTGTTCCCTGTACTACACTTGTGCTGGAGCTGGATGCTTCCTTCACTTGGATTTTGTGTTTAGCTTCAACCTCTTCTTTGTTCAGCAGCAGCTGTCCGGATTGTTGTCAGCTTCACCAGCTCTTTACACCTCCATTAACAACAATTGTATATTACTTCCCAATTTCATTATTCATCATTTACTGAACTTTTGCTCCTGACTCTGGCTTGTCCCTTTGGCACACCTCTCGGTCACTGGGCAGATAATCTGCTCAAACATTAGCAAATAATTACTGCATTTCAGCATGAACTCGTTGCTTCTCGAAAGCTAGGCAGAACACTGTGCAATTCTACCAGTTCGAAGTAGTTCTATGGTATAGTCACAGATACTGTAATTTCCACCATTTATTCTTTATTAATGATTTTAAATTAACGTGTCGGTTTTGAACACAAAACGAGCGCAACGCTTCCGTAGTGAAACAAAACTATTTTTGTCAAGATGAAACGAGAGACAAACGTTCACCGTTTTTGACCCGCCGCTGAGTTATCAGCTGCCCAAGACTTTTTCAACGCTTTCTTCCTCACATCCGACCACGAATTGGCACCTTCGAACAAGCGTTCCGTATCCACCCAACAAAACGTCTTCTCAGATTCGTGCGAACGCCAAAATTCGTTAACGTGATTTTTCTTGTCTTTTGCGAGTTCCGGCATGACCAACTCCTCGAACTCAATGGATCTGTCGAGAAGATTCTTCAGCTCCTCTTTCGGGGGGCAAATCAGAGGCAAGTCGAGAATCGTCTTTCTCAATTGGCGGGTGTGATACTCGATCAGCTCGTTGCGTAATCGAATCCTTTGCGTTTGTTTTGGGACGATTTCTGGGTTGTATCGCGATTGGTTAGGGTCATTGTATTGCGGTATATCGTCGGGGTCGAAGTCTATGATCGCGAGATCGTCAGCCTCGGGGCTGGTCCCAATCCAGCCCTTTTGATGAGCGGCAACTACTATCATATCATAGTGCACCTTTCTGTTGACCATGGAGGGGGGACCGCGATCTAAATTTGCCATGGCATAGGCGCAGGCATGAGGGGTGCGCCTCATTCCTAGCACGCCACAGTATAGTTCGGTTGTGATGCTGTTGTATGCGGTTGGGTCCTGGTAGTAATTCAAAATCTCAACGCGACCGTAAGGATTGTCACCTGTGATTTTCAATGCATTTTTCATCACGGGTACCGTCACGTCTATATTATCGAAGACTCTCGCGCCGTACTTGTTGTCTTTTTCCGTTCGTTCCAAATGTGACTTCACAAAGTCCCACAAATTTGGGCAATGGAAACCTCCATCATCGGGCCACAAGGATTTCTTTCGAATATCATTTTGATACCTCCAGAGAATGGTCATTTCGTCAATCTCGCCCCTGTCAGTGCCGTGCTCGTCTACGAGTASTCTCTGAAGATGATTGGGCTTCGGTTCGGGGAGGCAATGCTCAAGGGTCATTTCATTGTAGACTTCCAAAATCCAAGAATAGTATCTCCGATACGCTGCCACTGCAATTATCTCATTGTGCCCTAAGTAGTCCTTCCAAAAACCGAATTCCTTGTAGTTAAACCTCTGGTGAAAGGGAGTCTTATCGTTCCAGCTCTCTTTTTCGTTCGATTGTATAATGCCATCGAATTCCAAAACGTTCGTCGTCGTCGTCGTCGTCGTGATTTCCCTGCCCTTCTTTCYTTTTTCGTATTTTTGATGTTCGCGGCCCACCCAACAATCCATCAGGCATTTACTGCTGGTGCACACTTTGTCCGGAGCTGAAAGGTCGTTGGTGATCGGCATTTCCCTGAACTCGAAGGAGTTTTCCATGAACGCAAGTTCCAGCTTGGTTTGGACAAACTTCTGTGAACAGATCTTGCTGTTGACAAAATCGTTCTTTGTCTGTTGCTCGGCGTAATTTCCAACGTATAAAACCCCATCCTTTCTCAACGCCTCTCTCAGTCCGCGATCAAGGGCAGAATCTTTTTGTATCCTTTGCGCTCCGGTTGCTGGTGGTCCCACGTGAAGCAGCATGAATTTGTTTTTGTTTTTGTGTTGTCGGGAGTCGTCGCTGGTTTCCTTCGAATTTTCGTCGTTGGAATCGCTGTCGTTACTATCGTGCTCGAATTCGTTTTTGATTGTGGCCAGTGTCTTCGCATTGTACCATCCATTCGATTCTTTCTTCCTCAGCTTGGGTACCCCCTTGTTCGCATTTTCTTGCAGGTTTATTATTTCGTCGATGGTCACCACCCTAGCTCCTTCTCTTATTGACTGGGCTGTGGGTGAATTCAGAAACGCGGCAAGTGAAAACGACAGTGGGTCGTCCCTTCTAGTGTTATCGCGCAGCGCTATCATGATGTTGTTCAAACTAAGCACTGCGAACAAAGCAATCGCCATCGGCATAGTAAGAAGCCTTGAGCAGATTCGTTTTGTTATGGCGGGATCGTCCCTTCTCTGATGGTRATTATGAATCGGCAGATTTCTTGTACGTGACAGCATATTGAGATTATTCATGGTCATATCTCTTGTCCTTCACAGTCCATTCTCGTCTCGACTACAGTAATAGAATAGCAAGTGTAATATGATAAATCTGTTCCTGTGTACCGATGTCGTCTAGCTTAAATTTCCTTGATGAAAGAAGTGCCTCAATCGAGCAGAGTTGTCGAACTGATAATTTCCTACAATATTCTACCTCTTGGATTTGTTTAGCACTATCCGAGCTCAATCAAGACGTCTCCCCCGAGGACTATTATTCCCGACGCCTGAACTCAAGTTCAAAAGAGGTTCTCAAATTTGCATCCCCCAACAAACCGGGATTTTAATAAAATTGATGATCGACGAAGACGCGCCAAATATTCCAGTTGATTCTTTTTGAGAAAATTCTCAAACGATTAGTCATCAGGAAAAATTTAAGGATAAGGTTATTGATTATTGATTGGTCTGCTTCGTGCAGTGAAAGTCGAAAGTGTACAAGGTACGTAGCCTACTACGTACGAAGTAGTAAATTCAAAGCTGTAACGGTACGGTATAACCCACCCCCCTCAAAATGTTTAAGTAGTTTTTAATACTTGAGCATCCCCCCCCCAACCCCAGAGAGGTGGACCTGGTGATGAGTTCTTGTTGGCTGACTGTTGGTCTTGTGCCACCAGCGACACAGTCAAATTTTGATCAGCCAGGTTTTTAATTCATCATCATAAACTGGCATCTCATTCCAATAACTTAATTAGTTTACACTGTTTCTTATTGTTCAAACCCCCACTGGCTCTATGACTAAAAAGATTGGTCTAGCAGGTTTTTACAAAATACAACCCCCAAACCCCCCTTCATCTTCGAGAAACAATTACAGTCATACCTGTTTTAGTCTTTTTTAATGTTTGGACTTCCATGATCTCAGGAGTTCAGTATGGACCAGTACTGATACCATACTTACTTGGTAATCTTGTGCAAAGAAAATACGAACTTCCTTGGTAGAAGTAGAAAGGTAGAAAGTTGAAATACTGTCAAGTGTAATGCCAATACCAAACTGTACAGTAAAGTAATAGCCAATCTTTAGAAAAAGCTCAGAATCTCACATCTCTGCATATTGCAACACAGAAAGAGTGACTCTGAAAAAGCAGATCAATCTTTGGCAGAGAAGGACTAGAGCTTCCAGATACAAATAACATATTCGTGATACCTATCTCGTCACTACTGTACATTCCATCACACCGCCCTCGATTTAATTTCCGAGGCCACTAATTCTAGTCCCTCTCCAGGGGTCTTGTGTCGGTTGGAGGTATCCTTCATGACCGATTGCCATGTTTCTCCGTGCTTTGGTTCGGCCTTGATACATCGCTCGCGGATTGCATCTTTTTGCTGCTTTGTCCCGTGGTTCGACTCGAAATTATAGTACTTTGCCCATGAGTCCCCTAGATCAGGATCTAGTAGAACAGCTCGCTCGAACCATTTTCGTGCCTTTGTGATTTTTCGATCGGAGGCAAAAAGGGAAGCTACGGTGGCAATAACTAGAGGGGACTCCGGATTGCGCTTGATGGCATCGGCAGATTTRCTCTTTTGCTCTACGCGGGGCGCCGTGGCAATATTTTCTGCTAAGAGCCGTCCAGACTTGGGGCATTCCTGCAACGCCCGGGCCATGAGGGATTCAGCGAGTTTAGTGTTCCCCGACCGTCGCTCTAGCCTGGTAGCCTCTAGCCACAAGAGGTCATTCTTAGGGTGTTTAAGACGGGCAAGTTCCAACAACGAACGAGCTTTTGCAACCCCTTGGTTCGTACTCGATTCACTTGCAGTCGAACCGTTTTCTGAAACAAACGTGTGGGCCCTTTCCTCCAGCCTACTTGCCAGAATCCATAAAGTGACGTTCTCGACACATTTTTCGATGCCCTCCTGGTATATTTTTCGTGCCTTGTCCAAATACGACTTCTTCTTTTTTTTGATCTTCTCGTCGGTAGAATTACTGTTTGCGAGTGCCCGCGGTAAGTCGTCTGAACATATCTGACCGCCCATCATGTACAATTTCGGTGCCGTTTTGGGATACTTTTGCAGTCCTTCCTCGATCAGAGCGAGTGCCGCGCGTGTATCTCCGGCTTCCCGTTCCAAAAGCGCCGACTTCATGTATACCCGTTCGCTAGGTGCCCGTTCTCGAGCTCTCTCCAGCAACACTCGTGCTCGCTCTGTTTCTCCCGTCTCCCACTCTAGTTTTGCGGCGGCCAGCCACACTCGTTCCGAATCGGGATTGGCCTCGAAGGCCTTGGTGAGAATGTCGCGAGCCGAATCAACGAATCCAGCTAGCCATCGCTCCTTGGCGCGGAGCAACCAAAAGACTTCGACTCTGGGCAATCGTTCACTTGCGGCCTGCAAAACTTGGTCAAGTGATTCATTGAGTACGTGCTGCTTTTTGCTTTGGTTGTTCTCATTATTTTCACGAGAGTTCTCGGCTCCCTCTCCTGTGTCATTGGCTGCAGATTCCGCGAAATCGGTAGAAACATTTTTCGCACCCGCTGTTTTTTCCAGTTCCACCGCTTGCATCCACAGGCCCTTCCTTGAGGGGAACTGTTGTAGGGCGTGTGCCAAAATGGCCCTGGCTGTCGCCACATGACCTCTGGCGAGGACTTGTTTGGCATCGTCGCTCCATGTTCGGATGCGGTCCTCGTCCAGAACGCCTAGCCCGATGGCCTTAGCCACAATGGCTGCACTCGTGTGCGGTGCACCTGCCATTTCACAATCTTCGGCCTCAGATATCCACTGGTTTCGAGAAATGACAACGTCTTTCTTGGCCAAGGTCTTGAAGGCCTTGTCGACAAGTTTTGGGATTCTCGAGAGATGGTTCTGGGATTCCTCGAGTTTGGACGCGGCCATCCAGATAGATTTTTCCAGTGGAAGGGCCTTTCGGGCCTTGTTGAGGGTCTTTTGTGCCTCCTCATAGGTCTCGAGGCGTGCGAGCGCCATCCACAGCTCGATGGCGGTAGGGACCTTTTCGACAGCGACCGACAGCAAGAGCTTGGCTCGGTCCTGGGAATCCTCTAGGTCAATGGCTTGTTTCCACAACTGGAGCGAATGAGGGTTTGCCTCCAGAGCCTTTCGAAGCACCGCCTTTTTGTGTGCCGGCACGGTTTCGAGTTCGGCCGCTTTCAGAAAGAGGGGAACATTGTTGTCGACACGGCGGACACCGGTCGCTAGGATACTCTTGGCGACGGGGAGAGGATGCAAACGGGCAGCCTCTAACCAAACATCGACGAACTTTGGACAGGTTTCACATCCTTCCTGTATGATCTTGCGGGCTTTGAGTGTCTTGCCAGCCGCTTCTTCGATACGTGCCGAGGCTATCCATCCCGGTCCGTGCTTGGGATTCGTGTCGCGGACGCTCTTGAGCAGCAGTCGCGCCTTGTGGATGTCACCGAGATTGTTTGGCAGCGCTCCCGGTGCTCCACCGTTGAGGGTACTCATGCTGGTGAGGTACCCACTGGCATTGACGCTCGTGGCGAGTCCGCTATCGTTTGCGCTCTCGCTCATCCTGTCTAAAGAGAGCCCCAGAACGGTTCCACGAGCGGCCCCAATACCAGACATATTCACGGCGCTTGTTTCTGTTCCATCGCTCTTGTCGTTGATGTTCACCTGCGTGTTGAGATTCATCGAGGACTTGTCAGAGGTAGCTCCGATCCTCGATTCGAGCATGCTGTCCGTGATCGGGGTGAATATCTGCCCCTGTTTCTTTTCCTGTGCCCGTTTGTGCTTCAGAGAATGGTCTCCCATGGCATCCGGGAGGTTCATCCACGCTTCTTCCGAAAGGGTGCCCAGTTCTTCCTTAACGTCCCGAAACGAGTGCTGTATTTTCATTCGCTCGCGGGCACGTGGATCGTCGGTATGTGCCGGTCCTTGTACTTCGTTGCTTCCCTTTTTGCGTTTCTTCCGCCGGTTTTGGAGTCGTTCGTCGATGGCCGCCCAGATCAAATCGGCCTCGTGGTCGTCGTCGTCGTATTGTCCTTCGACGGCGCCGGAAGGAGGCGCAGAAGTCCTGGCGGAAGCCGTTGCGCGTTGCTCCCGACCGCCGCTGCCCGTGTTGTTGTCATCGAGTGGCTGACCATTCGGTCCGAATGCCTGGCTGGCGGCACCCATTTTGCTCGCACCCCGCCCTGCACCGGCAACATATCCACGGGGAGCAGAACCCCACGGACTGTTGCTGCTGCCAGCGTTGGCGGAGGCGGGCATCGAAGTGGGGCCTCCACCAAAGGCCGCGGTATCGCCCGTGTTCCCCAGGTCGCTTCGGGTCTGAAAGCCAGCGGCACCCCTTCCGCGTCCGGCAATGTATCCCCTTGGTGCTTGTGCCGGGCCGGACCCACCGGGACCACGGGCCGACGGATTGTACCCCCCAAACATGGATTGAATGTACCGTGCCGATTTGCTGCGTGTTTTGTTTCAACTCTGTGATCTTATTATCGTGCAGTGGGAAATACTGTTGCTTTTGTAGCTGTTGCTTCTGTCGCTGCTGAATGTTCCTCTTCTGATGTTGTTATCCCCGCTGATATCGCTCCTGTARATTGAGCTCGTATGGCTACATTTCGTGCTATCCTCAAATCGTGATTTTGACTTCTTCCATTAATTTTCAGCGTTTGAGTAGACTAGTAGAATAGAATGTAGAATGACATCGAGGTCTCTAGGACCTTGTACGGTACGTACGTACGCTTCAACGGTTAAACCAATACAATAGCACGTACCGTAAGTGGTAGTGATGTGAAATACTGTGACAAATAACTGGTACCCTGTACGGTTCTTTATTTCGTAGTATGTTTCATATCACTTCATAGTACCGTAAGACGGTACATCCATATTTCCTTATGCAAAAATCAACTACAGTAGTCAAGTAGAAGTCGTGCCGTAGCCGTAGCGTACCCGTACCGGTACCGTGGTAAAGTAAAAAACAAAAAACTCCGCTGAGACATGCTAGAAGTTCTGATTTTTCCGTTCGGTACCGTATCTACGACTACGAGTCCGAGTACGATCGTTCTGTACGCTATGCTACTGTGTGTACGTACTTGTACTCGGAACAGAAAACACGAAACGGCCATGCATGGTTGATTTTAAAATCTAACGGTCCCTAGTACGATACGTACGTACCGTGTCGTTCCAGTAGGGTAAGGGAATACTCGTTCTTTCCCCCCTTTCTCTCACAGACCCCTCTCATCATCGTCATTAATCATGAAGGAAAGGCATTCGCCATTCCAAGTCCAATCTATGTCCAAGTGCTCCTTCGAATTCGTCTTTCCATCACCGTTTTGAAACTGACTACGGGGCAAAGCAGCTGCARTCATMACCATGTCCTCTACACAAGAAGTCGGTGACATTTTCGGACAAGGAAAGGGCTCGGCACAAGCCATGTTGCGGAGCCCTACGGTGCTAATTTTGTGCATCGGATTGTGGGGGATGAACATATTCTTTTTTCGGTTGTTCGGTATCGATTTCAAATACGTCCTAAACTATGATCTGATAGAGATTGACAAGGAAGAAAAAGAGAAGAAGCGGCGGATGCGCGATGGATACAGCGAGGCAGCGACAAGCGAASCAATTACTWGCGCGAACAATAGCAATCATACGGTTTCTCCTAACAATTTGGAGCTTGTTGAAACTGGAGCTTCCAAAACTAGCATTTCTGCGACGACGCCTAAGACACGGTCGTCGTCACCAGCAAAGATAAACAACAATACCAGCAGCAATGGCACCAACAATGGTATCTCACGGCACAAGCCGCATTTGACATCGTCCACCGCGCCGCCGGAGTCCTACTCCGTTATCGACCCCGTCATTGCGGTTTCATGGAGCAAATTGGTGCTCTTCAGTGTGGTCCTCCTCTTCCTCTTGCACTTTTCAACACATTATTGGATGGATCATTTGCACCGTAGTTCGATCGGAGCCGTTGCTTTTTTCTACAGCACGATGATGCTTTATATTTTCTTTCCGATAAAGCAAAACGAATGGCTCCGTAGATCCTTTGTCATTGTTCTCAAGAGAACCTGGGCCCTCATCCATCCGCGGTGTTCCTGCATCCGGCTTATTGGGACGAAACAAATCCCGCGTCGGATACCATTTGTCGATGTATTCTACGCCGATGCCATGTGCTCACTTTCCAAAGTCTTTTTCGATTGGGGGATGCTCGCCCACCAGGCGGTTCACTATCCCTACCCGGTGCCGGCAGCGACGCACAACATTGTAATTCCTTCGATGTGCGCCGCCCTGCCGTATTTGATTCGGGCTCGGCAGTGCCTGATCATGCACCGGGTGGGGAAGCTCCAGCGGGATCCGAAGCGATATCAGCACATGATGAATGCCTTCAAGTACAGTACCAGTATGTATCCATTGATCCTATCGGCCTACATAAAGACCTTTTCAGCAGCCGACGATACCTCCAACCTGGAACGGATACTGGTGGTACTATTAACGTAAGTATGCAAGAAGTTGTGTTTTCTTCTTGGCTGGCCTCAGCGGGCTTACCGACTGACTGTGGAAACTCAAAGTGCCGACGACATGACTGTCTCACAACCAGTTTTGTGTTCAATGTGTTTTTCTACACAGTGTTAACGCATCATATTCTTTGTATTGGGACATTGTCATGGATTGGGGAATGATGCAAGATCCATACAAAGTAGCACAAACCGCCTGCGGAGTGGGAATTCCTCCTTCCACTCGCAAGGGGCACACCGACTCTTGCCACCATTTATGTCTGCGCCCGCGGCTGCGATACGGACTAACACTGACGGCACTCATTGTAGCAGCGGATTCCATGTTGAGATTTAGCTGGATGCTAAAGTTTGTCCCGAAACTATTCCCCAGCAACGATGCCTTTGTCCTCTGCACACAATTCTTGGAGGTCTTTCGACGAGGAATCTGGAATTTGTTGCGAGTGGAATGGGAAAACATCAAGCAATCGAAGAAGGCGCCCCACCAACCGTCCCACCAGGTGAAGGCTCATGATTCTCTTAGCGACGTTGATCCTCTCGACGAGCAACACCGGGTGTTTCTGCTCGACGTCGATGATGGTGACTCAAACTCCTTGGGAGGAACAGTGAACTCAACCGCAATGCCTGGAGGTAGACAAAACGAAGATACACCGGAAGCTTCTATGGAAATGAAAATTCTTCGGTAGAATCAGAATGATATGTTTTCTCAAGTCAAGAGGAGAAAAAAGATCTAGGAGAACCCCAAGCAAGTTTCCGTTCTGTGATCAGTGCCACCTTTGTTGCTGTCCGTCCGAAGAACCTCTACCATTTTCTACGAGCCAATCCTTTACTTTCTGAAGGTCACGTCGTATTCCAAATCGGAACCACAGGCGATGACGCTACCAATGAATATCGATACCAATAACAAGACATCTTTCACGAATTATCGATTGAATCAGCTTGTTATTATTKTTTTTCCAAGAAGATTTGCATGTAGTACTTCTAATTGGTTTCGAATATTGAACGAAGGGATTGTCTTTATTCATGATTTTCTAATTGCTGGACGGCTCCGTTGAAGTGTGAGCGTGCGTTGTTCAGTAGTAGCAGTAGTAGTAGCAGTATCATAGGATTATCAGTACTGTACTAGTAGCTAGCAGTAGAACTACTGCTGGTAGTGAGTAGTACACCTAGTTGTAGTAGTAGTAGTATACCACCAGCAGTAGTATTAGTAGCAGCAGCATTGCTGACCAGCATACTGATGATGGACTCTTCCTCATGGTTAGCTACTACTACTCTTTTTACGAGTACTACTAGTAGTAAGAATGGTTGTTCTCCTCCCTTCACAAGATTAACAACAAGAATAACACCAACAAGATTCTTTTTTTTTGTGACAGCTTGCCCGTGCGGACTATTGTTCCATGCGTATAGCACTGTAAGATTAATAATGCTAAAAAGTCACGTCGTAATTCGGACCCGTTTGGGTACAGGGGTCATAAATTTAGAGGGGTGCGCATCGATTCGAAAAATCATATTCCATCCTCGGTCCCAAAATTAAAAAATCAGCTCAAGGAATTTTTATAATTCTAATTTTTACTCCATAATACTAGTAAAACTATCCAACTTTTAAGTAGTCATAACTTTATCAAAAATAGTAATAAAATAATTTTTGAAGACACTGTCTACACCAGTTTTTTATGAGGATTCTGAATATACCATTTTGTCAAGTATCAAATGGATCTTTAGTGTACCTTTTTAAGTGTATTGGAGTACTAGTACTAATGCCACCACCASCAGTAGTAGTGCTGGTAACAGGAATACTGGTAGTACTAGTAGTGCTACTAGGAGAACCTGGATGTTGTAGGACTAGGACCAGTAATAGTAGTAGTAGTAGTAGTAGTAGTAGTAGTAGTAGTGGTACTCCTATTTATTCTATGTCACACAAACCGGATCTATGGTATTGCGCGTTTCACGCGGTTGACACCATCGAAGTTTCAGGGTCAACCCTTAGTCTTTTGTGATTGGATAATAGTTTAGAAAATTCCCGCACAACTTCATATATCCAGAACATGTTTC